TTAGTAAATTGATCATTGATGTGTTAACAATGTTTCAGCAAGTTGATCGGAGCAAGAGACTACACAAGCGAAGGCTCTAGGGACAGAGAAGGCCACGGTACACACACCGCGTCAACTGCGGCTGGAAACGCAGTCGCGAACACAAGCTTCTTTGGAATCGGCAAAGGAACGGCAAGAGGCGGCGTTCCGGCCGCTAGAATCGCCGCATACAAAGTCTGCACCACGGCAGGGTGTACCTCGGCCTCTGTACTGTCCGCGTTTGATGATGCGATCGCTGACAATGTGGACATCATCAGCACCTCTCTAGGGCCAGAAACTGCGCATGTTTACGAGCAAGACTCAATTGCGATCGGGGCTTTTCACGCTATGGTCAAGGGGATTTTCACTGTACAATCAGCTGGTAACACTGGTCCGAATCCAAGTACAGTCGCTAGCGTAGCACCGTGGATGTTAAGCGTTGCAGCCAGCACAACGAACCGTGAGTTTGTCACCAAAGTTGTTCTCGGAAACAGCAAGACACTTGTCGTGAGTATCAAGAAACTTTATTCATTTTGTAATCATACTAATCTTTTTTTTTTCCCTTTCGTTACCAATGAATCTTTTGTTCAAATTAACAGGGGAAATCAGTGAATGCTTTTGATCTGAAAGGAAAGCAGTATCCTCTTGTGTACGGAGAATCTATTTCTAAGTGTAGCAATAAATCTCTTATCAAGGGAAAGATCGTGGCGTGCAGCTATGCGGTTGGTTCAGAATTAGCTGTTGGATTCGTATTTAGAGGCACCATAGAATTTGCCTCTGTTACCCCTCGGCCCATCTCTACCCTTTCGTTAGATGACTTTGGCTCGCTTGTCTCTTACGTTAACTCCACAAAGTAACGACCTATCTTCTCTCTGTTTCTAAACATGTTCTATGGATTCTCCTTGATATCTATGTGTTTGTTTTATCAGGTCACCGCAAGCGACTGTTCTAAAAAGTGAGGCAATCTTTAATCAGAAAGCTCCTAAAGTTGCTGCCTTCTCTTCTCGTGGTCCAAACACTATCGCAGTTGATATTCTAAAGGTATTATAGAAATCATTATGATCTTGCATGGTTATCTTTAGTTTCTTGGTCTAAGAGTTGAATTGCAGCCGGATATAACAGCACCAGGAGTAGAGATCCTTGCTGCCTATACACCTTTGGCTTCACCGTCTTCTGAAGAGCGCGACACAAGACGTGTCAAATACTCTGTTGCCTCTGGAACTTCAATGGCTTGTCCACATGTTGCAGGCGTGGCAGCTTACGTCAAGACTTTTCATCCCAAATGGTCTCCTTCCATGATCCAATCTGCCATCATGACAACCGGTAAGCAAAATTTATATCCACCTTTCTTGTACTGAAAGTAACCTTTGTTGAGATCCTAAGGAATCT